TTTATATATTTCACAAATATCATATATTTAAAATATATAACAAATTTCATGAGGGAACGCAAACGAAAAATCTCGATAAGTGCAACATCGCAATAAGCTTATATCTTTAAAAATATCAATAATTAAGAAATGATGTATCTTGTCACGTAATGATGTTATTAAAGATATAAGCTCATCTTGATGTTACATTCATCAAGACCTTTCATTTGAGTACCCACATCAATTTTTTATATATTTTATATATATATATAATATATATAAATATATGAAAAATTGATGTGGGTACTCAAATGAAAGGTCTTGATGAGTGTAGTATCGGGGTAAGCTTACATCTGTAAAAATATCAACAATTAAGAAATGATGTTGTATCTTGTCACCTAATGACATTTTCAAAGATATAAGCTCATCTCGATGTAACACTTATTAAGAGCTTTCATTTGAGTACCTACATGCATTTTGATATATTTTTTAAATATTCATATATATAAATATATAAAATTTATAAAAAATTGATATGGGTACTCAAATGAAAGGTCTCAATGAGTGTAATGTCGGGATGAGCTTATATCTTTATAAATGTCAATAATGCAGCCTAAATACTTGTAATAAATTAACTATCGGTGAGAATGATATGAAACCTTGAAAAGGCTCAAATTCAAATCAAGACCTTTGCAATGACACTAAATTTCACTAAAAAAACTGATTTTATCATATGACTATCCTGGACACAAAATTTTTCTTATTCTTTTAATAATATAGATTAAAATTTAAATGATAAACTGAAATTATTTTCAAATTATTATTATGATCATTAAATTAAGAGACAATTTATCATTTTTAATTAACAGATAAATTTTAGCAAAAAAAAATTTTTATTTAATATTTTACTTGTAGAAATTGTAAAAAGTGATGAGTGCAATTTTTCTAAATAATTTTCCAGAATTAATTTATTTATTAAATAAAATTAAATTATGGTGAAAGGTCTGCTAATTTCAGTGTCATTAATTATTACAAGTTTTTTTTATCCTTCTAAGTGCGTCCAAATCTGAAAAATTGAATATTAAAAATAAAAATATTAATTTAATCATATTCATCCTAAAAGAGTCATAAATAAAGACGTTAACAAATATAGCCATCAAATAACAAAATTAATTCCCGTGATATTTATAATCAAATGTCTCACACGTCTATTGAAATGTCAGAGCCGTGCAATTATGTCGTGTGACATAAATCATCAAACTCTTCTCCTTCTTGGCACACTCCGCCTTTTCTTCTCTTCTACTTCACTTTGTCCTCTTCCTTCTTACTCTTCAACTTGTCTCTGACATTCGCCTCGCCCATAAAACTCTTCCTCACCGCCAAAATATCCAACACAATCTACCGCGTTTTCCACTGACTCTGCTACTAACGGGGTTTAATTAGCCAAAATTTCCGATGCTAATTTCGCCACATGTGCAAAACTCGGTCTGCAACTTCAAGTACAGAAGTAACTCTCCGAGTTGTTATATATAAAACATATAACACATCCAGCATCTACTAGCGATCCTAAATCCTACTCACAGAACACTTACACCAGTGAATTACTCTCGCTGTCGGCCTTCGTTCGGATTAATTCGATAAAATCAAGTAAACCGTGCGAGCACACATGCACACCCGGTGACGGTTAATTTATTAACGGTGCAAAACTTGGAAATTCCTACACCACCGAATTACTCAATTATTTGTTTTGTTTTATCTCTTCGCTTTCAATAAATTTTACTTCAGCTTCTATATAATTAATGAAATTTAAACTTAAGTTTAAAATTTTTTCGATTCAAAATAGTACACTATAAAAAATCGATAGTGAATTTTTTTTTTAATTAATAAATATCCGAGCACTAAATTTTAAATTAAAATAAATTTTTATTTTACTAAAAAAAAAACTTATTAACAAATACTTCAAATAATTTATTTCAAGTTTAAGTTTTTGCAAATATTAATTATATTTTTCTAAAAATTTCACTTTGAACTAAATGTTGATTAAAATAATTTTTTTTTTTATTTTATTGGCATATCTAAACATGAAAAATCAAAAATAAAAAATTACTAGCAACTTTTTAGTCACTATAGGATTGTCGTGACTTGTGAACTATAAATAAATAAAATTTTGCTTTATTAAATAATGAATTTCGTTAAATTGCCATGTAATTTTTTAACTATTGACGTTTTTAAAGATATAAGCTCATCCCGATGTTATACTCATCAAGAGCTTTCATTTGAATACCCACATGCATTTTGATATATTTTTCATATATATACATATATATAATATATATTTTAAAGATATAAGCTCATCCCGATGTTATACTCATCAAGAGCTTTCATTTGAGTACCCACATGCATTTTGATATATTTTTCATATATACATATATATATATAAAATATATAAATATATGAAAAATTGATGTGGGTACTCAAATGAAAGGTCTCGATGAGTGTAACATCGGGATGAGCTTATATCTTTAAAAATGTCAATAGTTCACAAGATACAAGGTCATTTCTTAATTATGTATCTAGAGATAGAGAATTTTCGAACGCAGCCTTAATACTTATCATCATAATAAATTGACTATCGGTAAGAATGATATGAAACCTTGAAAAGGTACAAATTCAAATCAAGACCTTTGCAATGACATTAAATTTCACTAAAAAAAAAAACTGATTTTATCATATGACTATAATGAAAGGTCTCGATGAGTGTAATATCGGGATGAGCTTATATCTTTAAAAATGTCAATAGTTCACAAGATACAAGGTCATTTCTTAATTATGTATCTAGAGATAGAGAATTTTCGAACGCAGCCTTAATACTTATCATCATAATAAATTGATTATCGGTAAGAATGATATGAAACCTTGAAAAGGTACAAATTCAAATCAAGACCTTTGCAATGACATTAAATTTCACTAAAAAAAAAAACTGATTTTATCATATGACTATCCTTGATACCAATTTTTTTTTATTCTCTTAATAACATAGACTAGTATACGTTGCGCGCGCAAGCGCGCGTATGAATGTTGGTGTGGAATTATCTATATTTTCATACTTATGATATATTTGACCAATCACGTTACGAATAGTTTGCTTACATGATATATTTTCATATTTTTCATCTAAATTATAAGAGTGGATTATCACTAATTCACTTAATTAAACTAAATTAATTTTTATAAATTATTATAAAGATAATTTATGATAAAAATGTTACATTTAGAAATAAAAAATTAAAATTTATTTTTTTCTTTACATTAAAAAAAATTTTTTTTATTAATTATAAAAATTTACAAATACTCATTTAAGGTAAAAGGCCCCATTAGTGGCACCTTTAACCCCTATTAGTGGTACTTTTTCTTTCAATGAAAAAATGTTCTACTTGGAATAAAAATGAAAAATTTTTCTATCTAAAGATCTTAAAGATTTGAAATAATATATTCAATATTGAAATTAATGATTTAATTAATAGAATAAGTACCAAAATCAAAGAAAATGTCTGTAATGGGGTCCCCGCCACTAGGGTCTTTTACCCAAGTAATTTTTAAATAAATAAAGACTATTTTTTTTTATTCAATACTAAAAAATTAACTCCGTAAATTTTTTACAGTGCGTATTTAATATCATCAAAAAAATTTTCAAAATAACAATACCGTCACTTGCCCTATCGATCAACCTGACAAGAATTTTTTCTCGAACTAAATCCCAAGTACCTGGTACCGGGGAAACTTAATCTTAACCCGAGTGCCTGGAGCATTGTTCCCGAACAAAACTCTTCTCCACCTACTTGAACTCGAGCTGAATATACGCTGCTCAGATTGTTCTTAACTCGATCTCGCTAAACACGCGTGTCCTCCATGGGCCAAGTGTATATAATAAGATAGAGCGGAGTTTACAGAAATTCAATATACAGGCGATTGGATCCTTGAACCCCGAGGTTTAGACCTAGACCCTAAGCCCCAATGCCAATACCTACTGGTATCTGCGTGCCTCGGGGAAAGTTCAATCGCATTACCCATAATCGATTCAGTGTCACAATAAAAATAAAATAGGGTGTCAATCGATATGGAAATCTCTGGCGAACTGCCGAACCAGACACTGATCAAAGTCCTGTTCAGATTTATCATTCATATCTGGTGAATTTATTCATAGTAGTAATAGTAATAGTTAGGTACATACCACATCTAGCACCCAGCATCCAGCTGACTTTTTATCGAGCTATCAAGCCCCGTCGTTTGTCGCGATAACAATCGTCAGCGGGGAAATGGAATATAACTGAGTTCTGCTTTGTCAAGTATCATCCATTGTCCTCGGCTCTGCATTCTCAATAACTTGGTTGGGTTTCTGCTACCTCAATACAGTTATAACTTCCAGTTCGTTCCTGCTCCGACGTTTCTCTTTACTTTCCGTCTACCAGGCTGGTTATAGGTATAGTTGAACGGATCAGATATTGCTGTACCAGACGCAGACACAGACGTAGACTTAGATCTAGAGACAAAGAAGACAGATAGATAGGTACACAAGTCACAACTCTCAAGACGCAGCGTGACGTTCAGTTACGAATGAGCCAGTTTGCCCACTGATAACACTCGCTTTATTTATTCCCATCAGTCAGTGTCAGTTTGTCTATGAATTATTTATTTCTTCATTCTAATAACGACCTATTGTCGTATTTTATGCTTCTATGATAAATGCTGGTGTTTACCAAGCTCACTGCATGTTTGAATTTAAAATTTTACCTTGTTACTTGCTTATGATAATATAAGCAGTGATTTATTAGTGTCTAAGTGGAATAAAACTTGGGTTTATTGATACTTACGAAAAATTGGTGATTTATTTTTTTGTTTTCTTTTAAGGAACTGCGGTGACAAATTTCTGAAATAAATTTATAAATTTATTTGTTAAATTTAAATAGATTTTTTATTTTTCAACAAGTGAATTTTTAGAAGAAAAAAAAATTTTTTAATAAATTAATTATAGCAAAAAAAAACTTATTAAAAAAAAAAATTCATCATTAGAAGCTTTAAAAAATTACGAATGCAATTGTATGACAAAAATTTTCTTGATTTAATTGATTTTTCAAGAAATAATTCTAATTAATATGTCAATTAAATTTTATGAAAATTAATTTAGCAGATATTTATTGAATTTTATTAAACTGAAATTGAGAGGCATCTGATATAATTTTTACAAAATTTTTTAACTAATAAAATATAGCAAGAAGCTGTAGCTTTTAAAAATTTGAAATGAATTTTTTAAAAATAATTTTCTAGACCTCGTTTATTTTTAGAGAAAAATCAAAAAATTGTAAAGTGTCTGTTAATTTCAGTCTCATTAAATTTTAAGAATTTTTCTAAAAAATAAATTATTGCAAAAAAAAATTGACGTATAAATTTAAAAAAATTAAATATGCAATTTTTTAAAAATAATTTTTCGGAATAAATTTTTTTGTTAAGTACAATTAAAAAATGGTCAAGTAATTGCTAACTTAATGAAAATTAAAGTAACAGATATTTAATCATTTTCAAAATTTTTTTAAGAAATAAATTAGCGCAAAAAAAATTATTAAAAAAAAATTGACATGTAAAAGTTTTAAAAAATTAAAAATGCAATTTTTTAAAAATCATTTTTTGGAAGAAATTTTTTAATGTCATGCTAACTTAAAAGTCATAAATTTTCTTTTACCCTAAAAATAATAAAAATAACAATAATTAATCCGTCACTGCAAAAAAATGAAGAAAATTAGCATTTTTATAACTCACCAGAAAATAAAACCGTAATTATTAAAAAATAATAGTCATTTAACAGCAGTTGAACATAATCGTAACCGGTAAGCTTAAAACAAGGATATTTATCCTTTTAGTTAGACACTTAATCCGAGAGATGGCGCTAGATTGCGAATTTCGTATCGTATAAGGGATGATTTGACGTTTAAACGGCGATATTACGTTTTTTAAACTGCGCATGCGTGAAAGGCGCCTGACTCTACCGGCTTGGAGTGAGGACGATCAATGCCACGGGCATTTCCGGTGGTGCGATCTCGCGGACTGTTACCTAGTCTCGGAGAGGCCAGAGGGTAGAGATAGGGGTGGTTTTCTCGGTGACAGTGGGGGCGCGTCAGGATCTAATAGACTACCAGGGCGGAAGGTTGTGTCTGACAGCGAGAGCTGGCTCTGGTTTGCTTCAAACGTATCTTCGCTCGTTATCGTGTTACAAAGATCTTTACTGCAAGTCAAATTTTGTACTACTGTCTGTTTATTGTTTATATTTCGGTACTCATTGTCAAGAAGACAATTAAATTCTGTGAATGTCACATCAGGTGATTCTGTTCATGCTCTCATGCTTGTGTTGACAATGTAGTGCCCAGTGATGCTTGATAAATGATTAGGCGAGGCATTCGAGTTTGAAAATCTTGTTAAAGTCTAGTTCAAAAATCAAAGGTACTTTTTTTTAATAACAATAATAATAATTACAATTTTTTTATTTTATTTTTTTCTTTTTTAGAGTAATTTTTTGTATAATTTTAAGTTGTTAATTTTTTACCGGTCTTAGCTGTCAAAAATTTAAGGTTCAAATTTTCTCAGTTTTAATTGAGAAGAAATTAATTTTTTTTTTTTTTTAAATAATTTTAATTTTTTTTTTAATTATTAAAAAAAAATTACAGATAAAAATTTTATGACAAAGTTAGCAGTCACTTGATTATTTAAAAATTTTTTTTTAACAAATAAATTTGTTCCGAAAAACTATTTTTAAAAAATTGCATTTTTTATTTTTTTTATTTTCTACATGTCAATTTTTTTTATAATTTTTTTTGCCATAATTTATTTGTTAAAAAAATTCTTAAAATTATCAAATATCTACTAAATTAATTTTCATAAAAATTTTAAAAAACTACTAACAATTTTTTTTTTTTAATTTTTTTAAGTATAAATTTTAATATTTAAAAAAAAATCATCCGAGATCTATTAATTAAATTAAAATAAAAAATCTAAATATTATTTACATATTAAACTAAGAAAAATTATTAAATTTTTTTCTGAACAAAAAAAAACACATAAAAATCTAAAATACACATAAAAATTTCTCTCCAAATATTGAATATTTTCTTTTAATAATTTTTCTTCAACCTCCGTGGTCATGAATATCAAACAAAGAAAATAAATCTCATGAAAGAGCGCTCGTTAAAAAGCTCGTGGATTGTCATGATTAAAATGATAATTTAAACAATAGTTGTTTTAGATAAAGAATAATAAAAGCTCACTGAAAGAGTATATTTATCCAAAAGTTTGGCGGAATTTAATTTGGGTAATCTGCCGTGCTCTAAACAGCGGAACTTTCTTTGTGATTGTGACTGAGAAGAGAAGAAACCCGAGATGGAGAGAAAGAAATTACAGTCACCCTCGGTAGCCCGGTGTTCCTGGCTTTTGAATTGCTGACAGTAAGTCCAAACATAAAAGCCATCGGCGTTGCAAATTGGCATCACCCAGCGCTCCGGGCATTCATATTAGCTTTTATGAGCGACATAATCATCGAGATTATAAATCGTCGGATCAACACCCGAGTTTCTTGACACTTAATATAATCCAATTGTTAATCTTCTTCTTTTGTCTTCCTGTTCTAAATTTGCACCAAAAAAATAGAAGACATAGCAAGAGATTGCTGAAGAAAAGCAAAAACTAATTAGCGCGACACGTGGTTGTATGTTAACAAGCCAAAGCATTAATTAGCGAGCGTGTATCTTGTTTGTGATGATGATCATCAGCTAGACTACTAAGTAAAGGTTGTTTGTAAATAAATCTGATGTATGAATCTAATTCCAGGTACGTGAGCGGGTCCAGGCGGGAGCTATCGGGAGTGAAGGAGCTCGTGAGCACGAGGAGGGTGCAAAAAAGCAGGCATCCGACGTCAAACATAACTCGGGATGGATCATCAATCGGGTGCGACGGAATTGGAGTCGGAGTCGGTCTTCTAGGAGGCTGCAGTGGCGGAAGCGACGCCCTGGCAGAGCTCACCATTGAGGACCTGGCTGCTATCCCCTCTGGTAATCACGGATCTCATCACACGGGGCATCCTTCGCATCATAAGGTATGTGCTCTTAATCTAGACAGTTAAATTATTTTAATCGAACTTTTTTTTAAATCAAGTGTATTTAGGTATATAGAATCGAATTGAATTTATTTATCGAGAGTTAAGTTGATTCTATAAGTTACTCCCAAATAGCTTTTCTTGGATTTCAAGCCTCAGTTCCTTCTTTCATCGCTCTGATCTCATTTATTCCGACAACTCAATTTTTTTACATGATTTACATCAAATCCATTAGCGTGATGCTGTTTATTTTTACCCGAAGGAAAATTATCGATCAAAACTGCCAGCCCCAGGGCTTCCTGCTGGGAAGACGATTAATTTTATTTTTCCCAACAATTTACGTGAGTAATAAATTGAATTAAACGCAACTTTCAGGAATCGGAAAAGTTTTACGACAACTTGATTTGCTTTTTGAGTCGATTGCAGTAATGGGTTATAAATTATCAAAATTTTTGGGGATTTAACGAAGGGCCTAGGTATTTTTTTTAAATAATTAAAGTATGCTGGCAGAAGAATTTATTAACTGTTAGTAATATTTATAATTTAATATCAATTTAAATATAAAAATTATTTTTTAATTTTTTATAAATATTTATTGGAGAGAATTTTTTTATTTGTTAACTGCTAATAATTACCTTTATAATTAAATTTACATAAAAAAAAATTTAATAATTATTATTAATAAATATTTACTAAATCATTCAATGTAAAAAAATTCTTCTATCAGTGTATTGTCGAAAATTATATTTTTAATTTATTTATTTATTTATTAATCAACATACGCCTATCGATAATATCAATTAGAAGAAATTATTTAAAATTAAATAACATTAATTAAAGAAAATTAATCAGAATTTAATTAAAGAAAAGAAAAACGAGAAAAACTCTATTTATATTAATTAATTATTTATTAAGTCAAAATAATATTATTTATTTAATGATTAGAAGATATTTTTCTCCATTAAAAAAAAAAAAATATCCCAAATAGCAGTCGACTAATGCTAAAATTCTCTATTGAAAAAAAATTTCCAATTTTCCCGGCGGTAGGAAAAAACACTGAGAATATTAGTCCAGATAAACTCAGCATTTAAAAAGGCTCAACGAGCATTATATTGATATATATATATATATATATATATATATATATATATATATTTCTATTTCAGTATCGATTCCATCAGCTCTTGTGATCGCGATCCCTCGTTAAGAACGCTTTTAATCCCAAGTAATACCTCCAGCGATTATTTCCGTTTCACTCGACACACATCATCAAGCCCTGTAAAACAAAAACAATGGTAGTGTCTGTTCTGTTTATTGTCCATCGGCAGTCTAGTTTGAGTTCTACTCCTACTCCTACCCGAGGTCTTTATTCTCTAAAAATCATGAACCCACGTCAGCTGTGTCCTAGCAGCTGCAAAGGGTTCGCATGTTGCCCATTAAATACCTAAACCGAGTAATTATCCCACAAATCACCTGCTGAAGGTTTATTTCATCGCTCAACGCATGTCTATACCCTACTATGTAATACAGAATGTCAAATACTCAGTATTCTCTACAGGCCATATAATACATAGTACAGCATAGTCGCTATTTGCTACTCGCTATTCAATGTCTGAAATATTTCATTTACTGAGTGACATTCAATGATCTATACGAAATCCGATTGCTCATTAGCGTCGAATGCTTCTTGAATGCTCGAATCAAGATATTGTATCCGATAGAGCTATTCCGATAATTTCCAATTGCTATAAGCCTTTCAAACTTCAAACTCTTTTTTTTTTAATTCAACATCTTTTTCAACAAACCAGACTTACTGAAACATTTTGACGTTTAATTAGTTCAAGTTCTCTTTATCAATATTCTCATTCATTTTATTTCTTCTTTTCTTTTTATCAATTTAAATTTGTAATTATTACTATTATTTTTTTTACTTAAAAATTTATTAATATTATCTTCAATTTTTTTATAAATGATAATAATAATAATAATAATAATAATAATCATAATCATAATAATAAAATAACAATAATATGTCAAAATACAAAGAGATTATTATTATTATTATTACTTGCAATTTTTTAAAAATCAATTTTTTAGCATACAAATTTTATTTAATTGATAATAATTTAATATTAAATTTCTTCAATTTAAATGTTTAATTATTGAATATTTCAAAAGCTTTCAAAGTAGAGAATAGTCATTATAATTCACTACATTTGTCCTTTAATTATTCAATTAATAATTAATAGGTTTTTAAATAACAATTCAAAGTTATTCTGGAATTATCATCAATTTAACAAGTTAATAAATTAATTTTTATATTAATCAATCAAAAAACTGTAGAAATAATCTCTTTTTTCGATCTTCTCGATGCGTACGACCTCTAAAAATTATCCAACAAATCAAACAACTTCCATAATTTCCATATTCCAAATTTTTAATCCCTCAAAACACGTAAACAGTTTGTCTTAATTTGCCTAACAAGTACCGCATTACCATCTTTAATTTCCACAAACGAGTGCTTACAAATTTGCATACATTTTACTCATTTCATACATTAATAAACATGCTAATTTTCAAACTACCGAAACAACGGCTTCTTATCAAGTTAATAACTTCAAAAAAAAAAAAATAAAAATAACTTCAACAATTCAGCAACAAAGTTATGCACAAAAGTCTGTATGATGTAACCCTTCCATCCAACCGATAAATTTTCAAGCGGACAGTTGGCTTTTATTCACAAGCTCTCATGTCGTACAAATGAAACTACCAACTGCCAACTGTCCCATGAATGTTAACATCAACTTCCACGTCCATCATCCTTAAGTACTTGAATTTCATATTTATTTTTGTTATCTAAAATCGATTTAAAAAATCTCTTCCACAATTCTTTCTTCTTTTTTACATTCTATGCTTCGCTCAAAAAAAAAAAAAAATAAATAAAGCTGGTATTTATGTAATGGCTAAACAAATTAAACGATTAAATGACCAGAGGTTTTTTTTCTAGACGATTGAGTTAGAGCCCGAACAACTTATGCTCGGTTAAAACTCGAAGCTCGAGCTTGCGTTACAAAATACTGTGCAGCAGTTCTCAACGATTAGTAAAGCTTGAAAGCTCACGGATGCCGCAATACATTAGAGGCACACATGTGTGGAGGAGACTAGACCGACTAGTAAAAGTAACAAGAGGTAAACTCGTTTAGCACGAACAAGACCAAGATTACCAACAATTCCAAGTTGGGCTGTGAGTTATACACTCGGGTCACGGCAGGTCATTCAATCGAATCAATATCTCTAAAACAATAACAATAGTCACCATTCCGTAGTAGTAATAATAATAATAATAATAATAATGATTTACATCGGTATTACCTGCATTAAAGTTTTGCAGCCGACAAACTCCGGGATGAGGATATACATTTAATTTTATCACAAATTGCATTTGTCCCGACTCCCGAGTCATACAACATACTACGGAATAGCAATAATAATCCCCAGGACACTGTTATTGAAGCATTCTCGTTTAGTTTTTAAATTCCCAGGTGGATCTGCTTATATGCAAAGGGTAATCCACTTGAGATAATCCTCCCACGCTATCATGTCTCGTTCAGATCCAGGTCCCGACTCATCCTACTCATCCTTCTTCAGCTATTCTTTTCTCTCCAAAGGGACAATCACCAATATATTTATATTTAATTAACTTTAGTCTTCCATTTAATTATCGATTTTTCAACCATGCAATTCTATTTTTATTCATTTTGTTTTATTTTTAGACTTCGGGGTCTTACATTAATTAATTAAAGTTGAATAATTCAAATAAGTCACATCGGTTCAGTTTTTGCACTTGTTTAAAAGATAAATTAGTGCAAAAAATATTAGAAAAAAATTTTCTTCATGATTTAAAAATAATTTTTCAAAAAAATTGCTAGATATTTTTTACTTTATTTATTTATACAATACAACGCGGCTTGTCAGGACAATACCGTCAAGAATTCTTGTCAGACCCCAATGAAACTCATCATTGTTATTCTTTAGACGATTCTCGAGGTCAGGTTCAAAGATAAACCAAATCGGTCAGTTTATAAAAATAACAGCAATACAAAAATTTTTTTAATTTAAAAAAATTATTTTTCTGTAGTTTTTTTTTTCAAATAACTTTTTAATTGAATAATTTTTCGAATTTATGTAAAGTTAATTTAAAAGCTCGAAAAATAAGCTTTAATTTTTAAATAATTTTTTCCTCGACTAAAAATTACCTAGAATTACTTGTAAAACAATAATTTATTAAATCAAGACAATAAATTTTTAAATTAGTCAAATTTACTTAAATAAAAAAAAAAATTTCTTAGATCAAGAATTTTTTTTTAAATCAAGACTAAAAAGATTAGATTTATTGTTTGCATTGTTCAACAGTAAGAACTGCATTTTACAATTTTTTCATCACAGTATTAATCTGCATCTCTTTTTCATCACAGTGTTAATTTGCTCAGTTTCAAATTTCTTTCAAACTGCAATTTTTCTTTCAAATTTTCTTATTATCAACCTTTTCGTACATAGTTATTCAACATATTTTTTCAACTGCTCTCGATAGGTTGTTGGAAATCGAGACTAAAAAATTCTTTAAAATAAGCTTTAATTTCCAAACCATTTTTTTCTCAACTAAAAATCACCTAGAATTACTTATAAAAAAAAAATTTATTAAATCAAGACAATAAATTTTTAAATTAGTAAAATTTATTTAAATAAAAAAAAAATTTATCAGATCAAGAATTTTTTTTTTTTAAACCAAGACTAAAAAATTCTTCAAAATAATTTATCTTTGTTTCAAAATTTTTTTTTTTAATTTATAAAATTTTATTATTGCATTTATTTCCACAACTCTTCAAGTTTTTAGTAACTCCAAAAATCTACTTCCACTTCAGCCTTTTGTTTATAATTAAACTCACCAGAGTAAATTAATTCCAGGCGCAGCCAAATCATCCATCGCTCCTTAAAAAAACAAACTGGATAAATTTTTGCGTACTTTTTTTCTGTCTGGGCATTTCACCGACTACAAGTACGATTCCATTCATTGAACGAAACTGAAACTGGAGGATTCTATTTATTGGCAGCGATGGTAGATTGTTGTTGTTGCTGGTTCTGTTGTTGATGTTGATGTTGATGTTGATGGTGATGTTGTCGTATAGTATTGGAGTAGACATCAGTGGGGGCGTATATAGTAGGACCGGTGAGCAATGAATCGTCGACCCTCGCAGTTGACGATTAACGTTCGTGCGGTTCATACGTGTAGGACAACCAACGTAAAACACTATTACATCCTTCTATTTGTCCTTTGCACATATATATCACACCGTGTGTGTATAAAACATTTTACATACATGCAGTGAATCGTACAAAGAAAGCACGGGGCTTTAATACGGCGAAGGTATATGTATTATGTATAAAATATAATACTGTACGAAACGATACGATACAAGTAAATAGAAGAGGGTTTAGGTGGTATAAGGTCTGCCTTTTTTCCTCATTTATTTTTATTTTCCTCGGTAAAAAATGGCTCACATCAGGTCTGATTTATCATTTATTTATAAGTAAAATTTTCTGGAAAAATAAGAATAAAAATAGTGATGGTGAAGGTGGAAATTAAAGTGGATGTAAGTAATAGGAAAAACTGATATATAAAAGAGCGACGGGCCGTTGACCCCGACTTCCGTATTATATTTTCTTTCCTATTTATCCTACACTCCACACTCAACGCTATCTTCTCCAATTTCCCGATTACGCGCCCTCCTGCAATCGATATACTCCGCAGCACGTGCATCGGGTTAAATTTGAGCGACACAGTGAATCCCAAAGTGACTCGCTGAATTATACAATGAAAATATCTAGTTTTTTTTAGTTTTTATTTACTTATTTTTTGTACAAGTACAAACGGAATTGTTATTTTAATCACGTAGTGATATGGTGAGTCAATTTTTATTATAATTATTCTGGAATAATTATGATAATTTTTTTAATTTAACTTTTTCGTTCATATATAACGTTAAAAGTTATTATGTTGCTTATGTTTTATACTAGCTGAATTTTTATATTTTTTTATAGTATTCACTTTAAATATTACGCGCTTTGATAAAAAAAAATTATAATTTTTAAATTATTTAAAAAGAATATTTAAAAATTTCATTTTACAAAATTTTTATTTTTACAATTTTTTTTAAGTTTTTTTAATTTATTAAAAATTTATCAATTTTTTACAATATTAATAAAAATTAATATATTAATTATATTAAATAATTTAATAATATTAATAACATCCCATTTCTTCTTTTCATCGACAAACTTGTTCTCCCTAAGAATCGAACCCAGTCCCTCTGAATATTAATCACCCAACTTGGTCTTCACTCCACCTCCTGTTCATTAATCACCGATGATTAATCACGCTTCATGACTAAACCTAAAATTATAAAAATAAATTAGTATTTTCCTTAATTACCCAAAAAATAAAAAAACAAGAATATTATTTCAATAAAAAAAAAAGTTATCAAACAAATCTTTAAAAATTCTATTTGATTCATTCGCCCTAAGTACGACTCAATAGAGCAATTCAGAAGCAGTAAAAAAAATAATAACCAGCCTTTTCATAAAAACTCATCTAAAACCGTACTTAAATTTTTTATGGCGCTCTTCCAAAATAATCCAGTTTTTATTTAGGTATGTACCGAAATTGAGAAAGCGCTACAAAAGTAGATCAGTGTATCGTGTATCCGCAACGAGCCTCATTTGGGTTCCATAAAAAAATAATAAGCGGTCATTTTTCGGGTGACCTGCACTTGTGGAAGTAAATACGCCCATAAATACGTTTATTTCTTTGTATTGCCGTAAACAGGGCTTTGTTAGAGCGCCGCGACCCTTTGTTTCATCTGCGGTTTGCTAGACATTAGTCCAAGACGGTATTGTCCTTTTTCCTTCAATAGTACAATGCATGGAAGAGACCTTGAAAGTCTTTCTATGGATGTGTGTTATGTTTAACTCACACATTGCTTTATTTCTGGCAATTCCGCCCCATGACTCACGGTTAGGGTGACTGGCGAGAGGAAAAGTGCGTAAGCCGGAAGAGGGGCCATGCTTCGGGCACACCCTTGTGGGTTACTATCGATATCAGTTTACAGTTCCCTGAGAGTAATATAAACCGTACACCGTGAATCATGGCCTAATGCACGATTGTGTAATATTACTTTACTCGTGTTGTTCGTATTGTATATATTGAATCACAAAGCTTTGTATTAAACGAGCTTAAGCGAGCCCTTGACCTAGAAATTAAAAATTTTTCCGAGAAAAATTATCTATTGATTTTATCTATGTTAATAAAAATTATTTTTTACAAAATAATTTGTTTAAGAAATTAATTAAATAAAATTTATCTAAAACAAGATGAATTTTAGGGTTTAATAATTTTTTTTACTTAATTTAGAGCAATAAAATTTTATTAAGTAATTTTTTTGGCTCAAAATTTCTTCTTTTATTTAAAAATTATTTTTTACAAAATAATTTGATTAAAAAATTATTTTGGAGAATTTTATTTTTTTAAAAAGTAGAAGAATTTTTTAATAAAATGAAATTTACTTAAAAAAATAATAATTCTAGGCTTAATAATTTATTTATTAAAAAAATTTTTGAAATGAATAAAATTTACTTGAATCAATAATAATTAATCAGTTAAAGAATTTTTTTCATTGATTTAAAGCAATAAAATTTTACATAATTAGTTTTTCTTTTATTTCAATTAAAATTTTTTACAGAATTTTATTGTTAAAAAATATTTTTCGCTTAATTAAAAAAAAAAAAAAAACTGATTAATGTTTCTTCTCTTTAATCAAGAAAATAATTTTTTTTAATACTTAATTTATTCATTTAAATCAATAAAATTTTTTTACAAATATAATAAAAAATTTAATTATTAATTAATTAATTAATTAATTAATTTTTTTTTCAGAGGGTGCCAGGAGGTAGTGTCGTCGTGGGGGGTGGCGTCGGCAGTGGCTCAGCCACCCCCCAAACACAACAGGCTAACAACCTAGTGTATCGAGTGGTCAGTTCTCGTCATCAGGGACATCCCCACGTTAAAAAGTCCGACAGTTCCCAGCAGACTGAAAGCACGGCTTTCAAGTATCAACAGCAGCAGCAGCAACACCAACAACACCAACAACAACAGCAACAGCAACAGCAACAACAACAACAACAACAACAACAACAACAGCAACAGCAGCAGCAACAGCAAAATAATTGCTCAACAAATAACAGTAATTCCAATAGTCAACAATGGAAAAAGTACATCGAAGCCGGGGCTGCACGAGACAGAGAACGAGACAAGGAAGGAGCGCCGTCGAGTCCTAGTCCCTCTAGACGATCACAGGTAATCAATACTACATAAAGCGCTTTATTTTTATTTTTATTTTTTATTGTATGTAGAGCCGCTTTATCTTGACGCTTATTTGTTTTTTCAGGACAAACACAGAAAGCAGGCCATGGCTGAGTACACCAACGGAGAAAAGCCACAGAAAGTTTCGTCTGGCACGTCGACAAACAGCAGTAGCAAGGTCAGAGGAGTTCCTCAGAGCTTTGGATACGTTAAAAGACACAGTGCTGGTACCAGTCCAAGTCCGAATGGAGTCCAGAATGGCAAAGACGCCACTAGGACTGCTCAAGTCAGTGCTGTGCCACGGACTAAGGTAAATTTAAAATCTTTGATTAAAATTATTATTAAAATTCAAAAATATGTAAATTTTTATAATTTAATATAAATTAAAATTAAAAAATAAATTAAACCGAAAATTGTAACATAATTTTTTTTTTATCAATTTTCATAAAGAATTTTTGACAATTTATTTAATTTAATATTGATGATAAAAGCTTTCTTGTGATTGAAAAAACGCAAAAAAAATTTTTTTTCAAGTCAAAGAAATTTATAATAAAATAAATTTTTATCGTCTATAGGCTATAGCTATAGCGACACATTTTTTTTAACTAAAAAAAATTTTTTTCACCAAAAGAACCTATTAAAAAGTCGGAAAAAATTTTATTTTCAAAGATCAGTCTATAAATTATAAATAAAAATAACTCAAAATTAAAATTGACTTCTAGGTTAAAGTTTCCGGGGGTACCCAGACATGCACTACTGAATTGCAAGCGAACTCCGCGGCGAATCAAGGTCATCACTACAAAAGCTACAGCCTGACCGGGCCAAGTGCGAGCCAGCTGTCCCAGTCAGTCAGAGACAGACTGATGCTCGGGTCACAGAGCTTGCCAAAACCTGGAAGTCCAGAATTCACGGCGCTGTTTGCGTCAGCTCATCATCGAGACCGTGGCGGCAGCGCGGGGCCTGTTACCGCGGGATTTTCCCCGCGGGTTTTAAAACCCTCTGACGGAAGTCTCAGTGACACTTGCAGCAATTACGCGGCGCCTGATATTCAGAGTTACTATGCGCCAAACAGTCCCTACGCGACTTCTTGGATGAGACATAGTAACACTTATACTCCCAGTGGAAGATCTCAAGGTTTGTTTTTTTTTTTAAATATAAAGATAAAAATGTTAGAAGCAATATAAGTTTCTTAATGAGTTAATTGAGCCATTTAATTTAATTTAGATGGCTGGGTGGGTGCTGATGGGATAATAAAATACTAATTATCATATATATCTCTAGGTATGGGACTGTGCGAAGCTGATAGCGTTGAATCGTTAGGATCTCATAGAACCAGTTTGAGCCACGCGCGATTGCTGATGCACCAACGAGACTCGAGTGGGTCGCCAGCACCTCCGCGTCTAAATAGGAGCAATTCCATCAGGTTAGTTATTTTATTAACTCGAGGACGACATCATCCGCTCAGTCACGGTTCATGATCAGTTCAAGAGCTATCTCCGTCTGTGATTATCGTCTGTTACTTTAACAGCTTGTATCACTAGTAATAATAATAAATAAATAAATAAATAAATAAATAGTAAATAATCAATTAAATATAATAAAATTAAATGTACATTTAAGTACTACGGTCGTGATAAAGTTGTTTATTTATATAATAAAATAACATTCTAGCCATCTAAGGGACAGGACTTTCCCAAGGTACAATAAGCGACACAAAAATTCTCTATCGCACATCAACACCGAGTTCGCGTTTACTTAAACTATATTTAATGTTAATTAAAAAGCTTTTACACTGTATTATACTACTTATACTTTACTCAACTCTATGTTTATATTTATATTTATATATATCTAAATAATACACTTTAATTATAATTATAAAATAATAAAAGCGTCGAGTGTGAGGTGCATAATAATAAGTAAAAAAAAAACTCCAGCCTTGCATTGCAGGTATTGTTGATGCTTTTAAGCAGCTTTTTGTAATCACATTTATTCGATGACACTTGCCTACACGCAGAGACACTTGACCTGGCTGAATTCCATCATCATAAAGCTTTTATCTTTAATTATTACTATTACTATATCTATATCGTCGTTTGTTATTACTTATTACGTATAATATATGTTTGAGTTAAGCTTAATTAAAGTTATTTAAAATATTTTTGGCTTATTGTCCGGCAGGTCGACCAAGAGCGAAAAAATGTACCCGTCAATGCTCACCCGGGGCAGTGGAGCGTCTTCATCAGTCGGCGAAGAAGTTGGTATCGGGATCGGAGTCGGCGGTGAGCCCTACTATAGTGTTCCAGTCGGCTCGGCAGGATGTGCTGGGCAACATTGGTCGCAACCTACGTCTCCGACACCTACTCACGCCTCCAGACAGCCGCCTAATCTTTATCAGCACGTTCATAAAGATGATGACAGTAAGACCTGTTTTATTATTAAAATTTTTTGTTATCACAATTGCGTGATAAATATATAAATTGTTTTTTAGTTTTATTTAGAAGGAAAAATTTTGGTGATATTTATTATTATTGATTTCACATCTTTAAGCAAATAATTATAATAATGATAATAATAATCCATATTATTAAAAAAATAAAAAAAATTTTGTTTTCAAGATAGTCATATGATAAAATCGGTTTTTTTTAGTGAAATTTAGTGTCATTGCAGAGGTCTTGACTTGAATTTTTGCCTTTTCAAGGTTTCATATCATTCTCACCGATATTAAATTTATATGATAAGTAGTATTTAGGCTGCATTCGAAAATGCTTTATCTCTAGAAACATAATTAAAAAATGACCTTGTATCTTGTGAACCATTGACATTTTTAAAGATATAAGCTCATCCCGATGTTATACTTATCGAGACCTTTCATTTGAGTACCCACATCAATTTTTCATATATTTATATATATGTATATATAAAAAATATATCAAAATGCAAGTGGGTACTCAAATGAAAGCTCTTGATGAGTGTAACATCGGAATGAGCTTATATCTTTAAAATATATATTATATATATTAGGGTGGCGCAAAAAAACCGACTATTTTTTTTTTTTAGTCTCGAGTGAAAAAATGTTAGTTTTTGATGTTTTAAGAGCTCTCTCCAAAGGACAGCTTTAAAAAAAATTTTAAGTCATAATTTTATAGATCAATAAAAAGGTTTTCCTGAAAGTTTCAGTTCAAAATGTGAATTTTAAAAGATCGCTCATAATTTTTTTTTAATTTATTAGTGACTATTTAATTGGATTAGCATTTTTTGACTCTGAAATTAAAAAAAAAACTATGAGCGACCTTTCAAAATTTAAATTTTGAATTGAAACTTTCAGGAACTTATTTTTTTTTGGTCTATAAATTATGATGTAACGAGAAAAAAAATTTCGATACTTGACGATTTTTGAAATTAAAAAAAATTTGGAGCGACCTATTAAAATATTTTTTTTGAGCTATTCTTTGGAGAGGGCTCTTGAAACATCAAAAACTAAAATTTTTTCACTCGAGACTCGAAAAAAAATAGTCGGTTTTTTTGCGCCATCCTAATATATATGTATATGTATATATGAAAAATATATCAAAATGCATGTAGGTACTTAAATGAAAGCTCTTGATGAGTGTAACATCGAGATGAGCTTATATCTTTATAAATGTCAATAGTTAAGAAAGTACAGTGCAATTTAACAAAAGTCATTATTTAATAAACCAAAATTATAATTATTATTATTATTTAAAAAATTTAACCTAAATAAATGAACAATTACATAAATTTATGCTTTCTTAATTAATATTTTTCAGTTCATGGTTCCTCAGTTTCGTTGGTATCAACAGCCAGCAGTTTGTACAGTTCAGCGGAAGAAAAACAAGCTCACGAGTTAAGAAAATTACGCCGCGAGTTGCTGGACGCGCAAGAAAAAGTTCACTCGCTAACCAGCCAGCTGTCAACTAACGTGAGTTACATTTCTTCTCTTAATTTTAAAAAAATTTATCTAAATCTAAATCTTGCTTTTAATCTTATTAAATCTTAACTTAACTCGGTACCGCGACAATAAGGAGGATCTCGGCTCATAATTATACCGATTAAATCTAAATGTTTATCCTGTGGCGAGTTAAGTTGAATTTACGCGCTATGAGACCGAGAAGCTATTGGTCTTCTGAAGAAACAGCGCACCAGTCAGACTTTAGGGTCACTGTACTTCTACCAATCAACGATCTTTAGATCCTATGGATCCCCGTCTGCACACACTGGTTGTGCACAGCACACACCAGCCCAGAGATCTATACACTTAAACACACCAGTAAACACAGAATAGCGCGGAGAAAGAGAATAAAGAGAACAAGAGGGGACGATCTAACAAGTAACTCTCTCATGCTCCCGCCAGTTTGCGTTGAGACGCGCAGCGCATAAGACACTTTTATCGATCGTTAAACATGCGCGTTAGATCACTCGTAAAACAGCTACGGAAAACAAATCTGTGTACAATAAAAAGTGATTACCAAAAATAACTAGTGGTGTCAATAAAACCGCTTCGAAACTTCTTAATATTAATTTTATTAAAAGTTTGAATTTAATAAAACTCCAATAATAATAATATTACAATTCAAATTTATAATGCTACGAGTGTTTACATTTAATCAGTAGATGATCTAATGTTAAAGGTTTGCTCGTGATGGAATCGAGCACAACATCTGGTAATTATCGTGACTAAACCGTTCCCGATTACGATGATCGGTACGAGGAAGTCATCCTGTATCGCTAATATATAACATAATTTATTCCCTGATTAGACTTGGATATTTATAATATATAAATATATAGATAACAAGTCTAAACAACCGACCCCAGGAATTAAATTGTTGACTCAAAGATTGTAATAAATTTTTTCAATTTAAATATCTAATATGTAATAGGTAATATGTAATAGATTATAGTGCTAGATAGTTTTGGCTTTCTATGATACTCAAGATAACAGACATCTGATATTTTTTTTTTTTTTTCCAGTAAAACATTTTTTTTATAAATATTTAATTTTTTTATTTAAAAAATTTTTATTAGATAAAAAAACAAAAATTTTTCAATTATTTTATTAAATAAAATTAAATTTTTTTATTAAAAAAAAAATTTATTAAATTAAAATTTTTTTATTCAAAAAAATTTTATCAAATCAGATATCGATTATTTTAAGTATCATCGAATAAAAAGCCAGAGAAATAAATAAAAAAAATTTTTTTAATAAGCATAAAATAACGCTAGAAGATAATCGATGTTTTTCGTAGCTTTCTATCTATTTAAATAGTTTATCTATGTGGATTGCCGGGTGATAAGACTATTGGTAATAACTAATAAATAGTAATAATAATAATAATAATAATAATAATAATAATAATAACTAAAACTAATTAGAATAAAAATGAAACTCCCAATGCTCCGCAATTAAAGCGATAAAATAGCATTGTTTTAACGTAGTATTTATCTGATCAGAAGCATCCCTATAATTAAAACGAAAACTAAAATTTAAATAATAATTCATACCCGTTAGCAGTGAGTTGTAAAGCACCCTGCACATTAATTAAAATTTTAATTAGCTTGATTAATCGCGCCGTCTAATGAAGCTTTAACAGTAATACTAAATAAAAATTTATTAAGTTCTTGTATTATATTAAATGTAAAGTATTCAAATGAATATTCCGGCGCTGAATGCGTAGCACGTTTAAAAAGAAACTAAAAGTGCATTCGCTGATAATTTATTCTCCTCAAGAAAATGCATTAAGGCCGATGTATATGTACCATACCTTATTCTGTTGCTCTGTACTCTACTGTTTTCTTATGTGTGTAATGTGTATATTACTGTATTACAGTACCGAGTTAATGTATATTCGGTGAGAAACGCGTCTTGCATTCCCAGTCACGTATTTACACAGACATTACAATCCTCGAATGGTCCCCATTGGATTCGTCGGACAATGACAATAGTCCCACGTACATATATATACATATATACATATATATATATATATTGAGTTTGACGATGGTCATAGAAGCTGCAGGATACCGTCCAGTGCTAGTATGTAGTACATAAAATAGAATATATACCTACATTAAAGCAGTCTAGTCCCTTTTTTCGGGATTTACGATTTACGAGCCAGCCCCTTTTTTTAGAAAATCTTGAAAAAACACTCCGAAGAGTAAATCCTAGCTGAGGGTATGAACTATCAAACTTTAATATTGTTATTTTTCAAGTTCAATTGACAAAAGACCAATTGTTCAAAATTAGGGCTCTAAAATTTAGTAATTATTTTTATTTATTAAATTATGTATTTGACTTTTTTTTTTGGTTTGAAAAAAAAATTTATAATATTATTTTTTAATAATTTTCAATCATATTTTTTTTTTGATCATGAAAAAATAAAATTTTATGATTTAAAAATTCTTATAAATTTTTTATTAAATAATTTTTTTTATATTTTGCATCAAAAGTAAAATAAAAATTATTTTAATTAAAAAAATTAATTAAATTGCAGTCGAAATTAAAAGAATAAGATAAATCATTTTTCTTTTAGTAATTTAACTTTCAAAAGAAGAATAAAATAAAATAAAAATACAGACAAGTTAATTTTTTATGATGAAAAAAACCATAAAATCCCTAAATCTAACAATGACCGAGAAAAAACCGAAATAATAGAAGTGAACTGCAGTAGGTACCTAGAAAAATAACTTTTCACGGGTCAACACTTAACACACTAGCTACTTGAGACTTGGGGATAGAAGTTTATTGAGTTCCGAAGAATATCTAGTTAAACCAACAATTCAAACTGGTATTTCCTCGTGAAGTTAGTCCTTGACTATTTTTCCATTATTCCATTATATTTCAAGTACTATGCTGGTTGTTTTTTTACTAAAGTCGTTTTATTTATTTCTAAGACGTGACGATTAACGATTAGTAACTTCGAATCCTCACGTATCTCTTTATTGCCTTATTACTTATTTATATTTATTTTCATTTATTATTCCTATTGTAACCGGATGTGCTTACAATAATTATTGCGTCAGCGCGTAGTAGTTAATAGAAAATTGACATACGTAGAATATATTTTATTAAATAATTATCGTCTACACTATTTCAATAAATTATTCCAATGTATTTTAATGCGATGTGTGTGGAATATGATAATTAGGTAATTGATTTATAATTTTTTTTTTTTAGCATCGTAAAAAAACCATCTTTTGCACTCATTGTCGCGGAAGTTTTATAGACGGCATAAAAAATTTTTGCTTGTACTTATGTTGTTTATTTTTTTATCTTTTACGAGATTTGTAAAAAGTATTATTACTTTTTTATGCGCGGTTCGGATTCGAGTATATTCATTCAGAGTTGATAAATTTTAGCGGATTAAGGACAAAGTGTTAGGAAATATTATATTGCATTGTATTTTATTGTATGGGAAAAAAATCGCTCATCTGCAGGTCTCCTTTTTCAAGGAGATGCTTTTCTTATATTAGAGGCATTTTATTTCTTGAATTGTAGACGTAGAACTAATATAAACTCGAGACTATCTCCTAAACGGCTAAGCATTCTTCACACTCAGGTATTTATAAAATACCTTTCGCGAAAAACTCTTGCCCATATTTATCTAAATATCTAAACAGTTATTTTATTTTGTGGTGAGAATTTTTTTAATTCTTATTGTATTAAATTTTTATTTTTTGGAATTGTTTTTAAGAAAGTCGCTTTAAAAATAAATAAGTTGAAAAATTTTTTTAAATATTTATTTTTAGAATAAAAAAATTAACTCGTTATAAATTTGTATTATTTACACTGAAAAGTCCTAAATAATTGGCTACTAAACAATTCTAATCACAAAAGATACCGATAAATATTAAAACCCAGTAGCGTCAATAAATAAAATAAATAAAGAGAGCCTCGTCCTCTTTTTGGTGAATATCTAACACATAAATAATAATGTCTCGGAGAGCTTATATATACTTATACATGAATAATTCTCTGAAGCATTCTAAATAACTTTAATGGACACTCAAACCCACTTAGCCATCCGCATCTACATCTATTTCCCGTCTTATATATGTTTCTTATTTTATTCAATCTTCATTTTTTAATCCGAAAAAACCGACCGGTCCTTCGGGCAAATGTCACTGTATAAAAAAAAATCTACAAAAAGTCGATAACAGTAGCATTGATCATCATAATCAAGACTTATTTCTCTCATCCATCTAAATTATTATTTATTTATTTACATTTTACATTCATTTAATTTTAAAAGTTAATAATTTATTTTAATAAATAAATATTTATGTTGTTATTTTGAAATTTAATAATAATAATAATAATAATACTAACTTTGTTAAATTAAAAAAATTTTATAGAAAAAAATAATAATAAAAAATATTAAATATAAAATTATTTAAAATAATTTCTGAGGATGACAATGGACAAAAAGAGAAACTAAGATAAGACTAGACCCTGAGTTGTCTTTATTGGAGCCAACTGGCAAGCCAATCCCGTTCTTTCGCTTATTAAAACTCTTGTTGTTATTTCTTTTGTCTCTTACTTATTATTATAGAGTCTTTTACAACCCAAGTGTCAAGTGGTTTCAGTTGTAAGCATTACCCTCATATTATATCTTATATTTTAGATGATTGGAGATGAAATGAAATATCTGATATAAAATACAACTTTCAATAATATTAATTCTCCTTTATTCCATCATAAAGATCATTCAGTCCCTATATATAAAGCTATAAATGTTAACAAATATAATAAATAATAGCAATTGTTGAGTTAATTCTGTGACTAGTCGAGTCAGGTGATCGTCGACAGGAAGATGAACGCTGGTAGATGATACGTCAGGCATTGCTTAGATCCAAAGAATGGTCGTGAGGAAAAAGTGGATGCTCATCCGCGCCATTCGTCTCCATCTTCGTCTTCAACTTGGTCTTTGACTCTAACTCTATACTTTTACACGACATACGAGAGATGAAGAATTAAACGAATGGCAAAAAAGGGCTGAG